CCGTACAGTTGTACAAAAATGCGGCAAAGTTTCACCCAGTCATTCAATATGATCAGCCATATGGAGACTCATACCGATATAGAAATCGTACAGTTGTTCGATATGCCAGAAAGTTTAAAAGCAAAACGTAGTTTGCAAAGACACGCAACAATGCATGACAAAAATAGACCAATCTTCAATTGTACTATTATGCAGTAAGGGTTTCTTGAATTATGACTCATTGAAATCACACAAGAAGAATCATAAAAAAGCTGAGGGGAACATTTTAAGTTGAAAAAGGCGCTGTTATTTTGGTGTGATTGATTATTTGTATTTTCTGTTAGATAAATTCTTGTCACTTATTCATTATTTAATTGCTAACAGTCTTCTGTTGTTATCATTGTTATCGTTTTCTACAATTTATTCATTTTTTGCTTCATATGGATATTATCATCGTTCTTCTTTTTATTTTAGTGAATAAAGTTTTTTGTATCGTGTCATCTTGCTCATCTAATTGCCTTTTCATTATTTATGCTTACATAACAAGCAGGTAACTTGCAGGCCATATACAGAAAACTTGCAAGTAAGTATCACTGTTGGAATTACTGATGAAATAACGTTGCAATACAATTACTTTTGAATAAGTAGAACTAATGGAATTTAAAAAATATAATTTGATGTAAAACTTAACTGATGGAATGGTGATGAAGTGACTATGTTCTTCAACTATTTCGAAATTATTTCTACATTCTAAGTGTCTTCTGATAATATCTATTATCAAACATATTTAATCGATAATGTTGGAATGCACTTGATTTTGAATAATCCATTGATTATGCTTAATCAGAACAAAATTCATTGTCCTTTACAAATATTTTCTGATAATACCCATTATCGATTAGTTACGTTCGATAAAGTTGCAGTTCAATTACTTTTGAGTAATTAGTTGCAGTACAATCGAAAAATAATGAAATCCATGTAAAACGTGGATGATAAAATGATAATTCACTGATTACATTTAAATAGAACAAAATTAATTGTATGTTATAAATGTTTTCTGATATATATATTCCTACTGAAAAGAAATATTTTTCGAACTTTCAGATAAATATAAATATTTCGTTACAGAATAAATGATTAGGAAGAAGTACCAGACGGATTAGACACATTCAAAACAGCCAAAAGGAACATAGAAATTTCCGTTCTCTGCAGCATTCCTAAAATTTGTGATTTTCATTTGATACGAATACTGCAAAACAATGGAAAACATTGTGCGATTCAATTCCTAAGAAACTGCTACTTACGTGGTGCATTTTTATTTTAATTTTTTGATCTCTGAAATAATAAAAGTGATTTTTATGCGAATATTTAGAAAAAAGTGCTGGTACAAATAGTTGCAGAAGTATTATTGCTGCATAGTCGGATTAATCACAGTCTTGTCTCGAAGAAGTTTAAAACAGCTATTTTTTTGAGACATAAAATTTGGTCTTGTTTTTACTAAACGTCCTACAATAACTGCGAAGTGTAGTATGATACAGAGGAACAGGCTTCAACCCCGACCGTAAGTTCACTAGGCCATAATTGATGATAATGGTATTTATAATATTAAATGAAAAATGATTCCCTTAGTGGCGTAGGGGTAAATGTTCTTTTCTTCTGTACATCTTCAGTCTATCCTAGGGAAAATGCATTACTTTTCAGATATGAAAGCTTTTTTTTACGTTCTTTGTTTTTGGGAGATGACAATTTTTTGTTTTTGTTGTAATTTTATTTTGCAACGAATGTTGTTATTTGCATTTGGCCTTTGCAAAGCGTACATTTTTCAGATGTCTACCAGAATATCTGAGATATCAGATATTTCACATGATACCGAGGTCTATCGATGTGACTTTATGGGAGTTTTCGCATGGCGAAGAACCGTGGGTCTGTCTTCATGGAGCTGAGGTATCATTTCTAAGGTCTGATTGGAGAGGCTTAATGATTAAATATCGATCTAAAGAATCAACTTACAATTTTCTTTTTCTTTATAGATCTTTTGTCGATGTGCGCACTTTCATGATTAATCGGACAAGGAAAAAGGAATAGATTTTAAAAATCGTTAAATTTTTTGACTCTTGAATTAAACTCCCCCTTCATTTTTTTTGGTAAACAAAAACTCGCAGGAGGTTCTAAAAGCTTAGAGATTAAGCATGATTTATTTTTTAAAGATATTCACAAAATTAAAAGCTAGTGAACGATATCCGGAACCGCAAAGTTATTCTGATTAGTTATATGACTTCATCTCATCTTTGAAAGCAAATTTGAAGGCAAAATTTAGCGTTTTAAAAGGCACCCTTTCCAAACATTTTTCTTTTTGTCAAAATATGCTAAATTTACTCTTTTGCAGTCCTATAGTTTATAGTTCAAAACGCCGAAGTTATTTTAAATATATGTATAGCAATATCGATCAGCTTTTTCCTGTACACGTAGTACTGCAATAACGAATAAAATAATTAATAAAAGATTGATCGTTATGAATTTCTTTCTTTTTTTTTAATCTGAATTCAAGTTAGAAGATATACACTTTAATATGATTAGATAATGTTATGGTAGCTGAGTATCGCAAAGCATTTACCTCGTTACAGGATATTAACTTAGAACTGGTTGTTATTATCATTCATGGAAGATACTACTTTGTAATTAACGATGAGTGATAGTCTCAGATGTTGAATCCTATATAGTTTTGCCTTTTGCCGTTTTGGATTCAATGATGATTATAGATATTTCAGCAAAGGAGTTGCTGTTAAGCAAAGTTAGATCTATATATCTATATAATTTGATTATTATGAATTTATGGAATGTCATATCACCACTTTGATATGATTTAGTTGATCAACAATAGAGATAACGAGTTCTTATATAGGAAAGCTTCTTTCATTACAATGGTTTAATTTGGTATGGCAGAATGTGAGGAGGTAGAAGTTTGGTTCATTCAAACTTTCATCGATACATTTGTAAAATGAATGTAGTGAAACAAGAAGTGCTGAAGAGATAAATAATTCGTTGCAGCAACAAAATGGTATAGATAATTATATTTATATTTTAAAACAAATATGAGGAGATATCAATAGATTTTTACTTCATTTAGAATAGTGTTGATCTACTATTGAATAGATATGTTTATGCTTCGCTTGCATTATCTCTTTCATTAAACATATCCAAATTTGAACAATTTGCAGGATCATTTATGCATGCTGGACATGATGGCATAAATATAGAGCAATATTGGGGTCAACCAGATTACATTGATGATATATATCTGGAAAATTCTGTTTTGAGGAAACAGGAATCTACTTATGAGATTCCTCTTAGGAAAGAGGAATCTTACTAACTAACTGATGACTAATTACACTACATTCGTCTTGTTTGAAATATTCCATACAGTGTTCAAAATCATCTACTGTCATAGTTGTCCTATTTAGAGCTTTATGTTGTAATTCTTAAAATGTTGCATACTTTATTTTTTTTCTCAGTAATGGCCAGAGACAATGTGGATCAGACTTGTTGATTTGAAACCACGAAATCAACCTAGGGAAAATGGTAATTTTGAAGTTTACCTCTAATTTTGAGAGCAAAGTTTCATTTACCCTTCAATGTCTTTTTGCTAGCTAGTTACCAAGAATAACTGAACCAGATGATCCTATTTAGCCACTTATCGTTCCGCATCCGGAAAGTTTCATGTTAATATCATTTTTTTAAAATACCAAACTATTTATTTCAGGTTGTTATTCTGATGAATGTCATCAGGAATTCCTTCCGTTTGTTTGTAGCAATTATAAAGGTGTAGAAAAATCCAGTCACTTTTGTCATAGCATTTACTCATTTTTTTTTTTTTCAAATACTTTACCATACGGTGTAACTACCAGAATTGTCATCTTTCCTACCTTATAAGGATGAGTGTGGTCAACAAATGAAAGATACCAAGGAACTGCAAATAAACGAAATGCAAAATCTGACAATATACGATATCTTGAAAGTTATGGTGGGATGTAATCTTTTTGTTAGATTTTGATGTTAAAATGAGTTATTAATTAATTTGTATTATTTACATTAACATAAGTGGTTTTTTAATGCTTTACCAGATAATATAATTACCAGAATTTTTATAAGTGATCATCTTTTCCACCTTATAAGAATCTTATAAAGAATGTACAAAACATGATGCGTACATTGTTTGGATTTGTACAGAAATATTGTACAATTTGCAAGAAGAAAATTTCCATAGTTAAAAATAAAATTTAAAACTGAAAGAATCATCCAATGAATTTTTATTTGGGTCAAAAAAATATGGATGAATTATGGGAAGGAATTCAATGTGTTTTTTTTGTAGTAAACATAAGTAGATGATGAAATTTTATGTGATAAGGATGTACAGTAAACTGTCATCGTTAAATGTCATCTCTATGATAGATTGATTTGAAGCACAATAGATCAAAATAAAAATGAATGATGTATACAAGGAAAATGTTTATAAAACATCCTACTGTATAAAATGTAAACAAATAATCCGTTGTTAGTCATGTTTTAGAAAATGTTAACTTTCTTATGATATCGCTATATATTTAACTGATAAGGCTGCTGAAATGTCATATGTTTATGATCCATTGATTTTAATAAAATACAAAATATCAAAGTATGTATAGAGTTAACATATATATTACAGTTTGAATATAATATTAACAATAATATATATCAATAAATTAGCTTTAATTGTTTGTTTTGTTTGCAGGCAATAATTGAAATTTTTGCCTTGAATTAATAATTTTAAAAAATGGAAAGACTTTTTTCAGTCAAACTTATTGCTCCCAAAACATTTTATGATTCATTGTTTATACGATTTATTTTCGGCAATGATATAATATACTAAAGGAAAATTTCAAGGGTTTTAAATTTCATACTTATAAATGGCCAAAGCTCTACAAAAGTGCACTTTCTCTGTCACAAAATCGTAATCGGGAATAGAAGAACCGGTTCGGTTAAAATTTAAAAAAAACATTTAACCATAAGTACATCTATGAATTCATCTTGACATCACTTATCTCATGCATTTTACAGTTCCTAATTCATCGATCATTCATGCCGACAATAATAACCATTCGTGAGAATTAGCTACTTAGAACTAATTGAGAAATTAATTGATTCCAACGCAATGGTACTTAAACATTGAACGGATTATGCTACTTCAGGTTTTTAGAATACTTATGTTATACAGGATACGATTCTGTTACCTTTCTCATTAATTCCTGAATCTTATTATCTGTCTTATTGTCATATATCCTGCAACATATTTCACCTAAACATATTTTACCCAAATATTTTACATATTTTATCCAAACGATATGATAAAGTATCCAGTCATACCTTGAAATGTTGTTTATTTTTTTTATCAAAATTGCCAGAAATGAGCGAAATTTGTGAATTATCGAATTTGACATAAACATTCATTGAACTGAGCATTTTTTCGAATGTGCTAATTTCAAGGAACTCACTTAAAACAGAATTTATGTTTTGTTTGTGTTAAATAGCATTTTTGTATACGTTATTTGTGCAGTGAATTCTGTTATAAATTCCATATCGTACCTATCTTTTGCTTTTTATTGATATAAAATTCCCCAAAGGATGAAGGAAAAGGGAATGATAATCGATAACATTGAAAGAAAAAAAAAAAAAATTATTTCCAGTTAGATTAGCGTCATTTATCTTATGGTAGAATAATTCAGCAATGAATTGGATGAAATTTTATGAAAGGATTAGAAATTCGAATTTAATAAGAATTTAGTGATAATATTTGGATTTGCAATTTTACATTTCATTTAGTCAACATGTTGACAGTTCATAGCATTCATTATTTTATTCTAAAATATTAAGCATAATGAAGCTTATTGATAATTGAAAATTTTGATTGTAATTTTCTTTTTCCTTTCTATTAATGCATGCTCTAATGTAATATGCTTTATATCGTGATAATGTAATTTTGTAATCTTTTCCATTAGCTTAGATTTTTTCGTTGTATTTGTATTTTGATGATTGAATAATTTATTTTAATTTGATTTCATTTGAATTAACTTACACTTGTTTTTTTCAACAGCACAACTGTCATATGTTTGGAGAAAGGATTGAAATTTCTCGTTATCTTAATTTCTTTCTGAAATAAAATGACAAATCTGAGTAAAGATTAAAGCGATATGAATGAGATAAATGTTCATAGTGATGGGAAATAATAATTAGGATCGGGAAATTATTAAACTTTTATGAATTCGGGTCAAACGTGGCTCAAGACAAGGCGAATGTTAATACCGGCATTTCATTTCAACATTTTACGCAAGCAATGTGGGAATATTTAACGAATAAAATTGTTGTTTTAATAATAAGAAAATAAAAATGCAAAAGCCTAGAAAGTCTAAGAATTTTTAGGCTTATTTTTGCTCTTTTTGGATTCACTTTTGGGCCTATCACTCAGGCTTAAAAGCTCAAGTGAAGTGATGTTCTCAAAAATTTATACAATATTTAAAAACTTTATCATGGATGAGAGAATTTTTTGAGCCTTTAACCTTTGATAGTATGAAGAAAAGGTATGATTAATAATGTTTACATTACGACATACGTTTTCAATTGAGCCAAAAAGCTACCAAATATAATCTGAACAACCATTTTAGAATTTGCTAGAAAAGTTAGGCAGACATTGTGACACAAACGAAACTTTTGATTTGTCACCTCATTTGCAGCGGTACGGGTTAGATATTGTTGCTGGTTTGTTTTTTCTATGGATAAAATTTTGATGAAGCATAATTTAACATTTCGTTAGAAGATTGGATAATAGAATACGCTGACGATAGTCTCGATTAGTGACAAATACACAATATCATCTGTTCACTTTGCTTGAATCTAACAACAGAGAGTCTTATTATACCTCAACAAGCTAATAATTTGCTTAATTAGCCAAGATCTAAGCTAAAAAAATATTTTCCAGGCTTAACAAGTATTTTACCGGTTCATGTTGCATGCCATGTTTTGATGTTGAAATCATTATTGCTTTCCTTTAAATTGATTCCGTTTCAGAGACGACTATGGGTATCAATATTGATGGACAAAATTTGCTGCAACAACAACTGTTACTATGAAAAGCTGACGATGGTATTTAATTCATGTGGGCAAGAATCCGGTATCCGTGATACTGGTTCACAGCTACTCGTTGGCTCTCCGGTTATGATCAGAAACTGGATCATTACCGCAATATATGCAAGAAATGAGCAAGTGAAATATGCTAATTTCATTAAACAGCAACGCACTTTAACAATGTATTATACACAAAAGTTTGATTTTCTCTTTGAGGTTTTCGATGGCATCGAGTTTTTTCTAAATGATAACTCATTCCATGTTACTATAACTTTTTAAATCAAATTCTTTTCTATCGGCAATTAATTTATTTTGATTGAAGAGAATGTTGGAAAGTTTCTTTAACTTGTTATCAAAACTTTACACAGCTATTCAAATTAGTTGGAATTATTCCTACTGATAAACTTATCATGTATGAGACTTATCAATTAATCTTTTGACATTTTAAGTAAGTATTTAAAAAAAAACTATTTCAACTGAGAATTGGATTGAAGTTTTTTGATAAGCATTCAAATTGATTTCCTAATTTTTTTTTCCAGATAATAGCAACAAAAAAGAAGAAATGGAATAAATTCGATAATCAACCATCCATGGATGATTTATCAGTTAACGATAAGAAACAACAAGACTTTCATGGATCTACTTTTCATTGTTTTTGATTGGTTCAACTTAACCGATGAAGATATATATCTGTAATCAAATGGATATGTTTATGGTTGCTGGTAATTAATTTATATTTAGAAATTGTTTCAATTTAATTCATATTTTCTTGATCAAAATAATTTTTGCCTCTTAATTAAATGAAATAGTAAATTAGGATAAATTAGAGTTGAAAAAAAGTCTGATCAGAAGAATTTTCTTTTTTTTGACAAATAGTTTTTTAAAGATAGCTCTTTATGATGATGACAATGAAAATTAAAATACATGAATAGATGGACTTCTTACTTGCAAGACTTTTGCAAGCAACTAGGCAATTTTCCGTATCCATTGAATTTAATTCGGTTCTATGTCTAGTTCATGGTTACATTATCTTCATCATCGTGATAATTACGTGATAGTTCTATAAGCTTGGATAGCGCGACAAGAAGATACTGATATGAAGTTGAACTAGAACAAAAAGGATTGTATTATCTGAAGTCTATTAGGTCATATATCGAATATAAATGAACTAGAAGCGACTGAAGCTAAGAAGCATTAAGTAGATCAACTCTTTACTTATATTCTGATTAATTATCAAAAAAGAATACCGTATTGCTCTATCACTTAATTAATTATACGATTTAATATTTGGAAACAAATATTACACTGATCTATCGCTTGATCAAATATATTATTTAAATTTGAATTTTTACTCATTAAGAAATGATTTAATATCAGCACAAATTGGCTTCAATCTATTTGCATCATTCGAGGAAAATATTTTAAATTCGTTAGATTGTTCAAAGTGCAACAAATTATTTGAATTAAAAATTTGTATCGTTAAGCTGAAATTATCCACTCATTGGTTGATTTATTGTCATTACCACATAGGATCATCAATTTTTTTTTTTCCAACGGTAGTATTTCTAATCCTGAGAGAAGATTCCTGATGTGAATTCCGGAATGGATTCGAAATCATCTGATTGTTAATCAGGTTATAGAATAAATATGAATAGTATAAGAAATCATTATACTTACCGCCTAACATTTTGAGATTTCATAGAACTTTTTCTTTTTCTTTTTTTATTTAGAAAAATCAATTAAAATAAATGTATATGTAAAAGACGATTCAGTAGTTTATTTGAAATTTTGTATTTTATTCGAAATTAGTTTTAAAGTAAAATTTTTATAATAAAACTGGTATAACTGATAAAAATGATATAACACGTTGTTTGAATGATTTGTATGGAGAAAATACAGAATGTACTTATGAAAATAACACTTTTATCCATTGAAATAAAATATTAAGAGTATTCTAAATTAAACAAACTAAGCAAGTTTATCTTATAGAAGTTATGTACTGATTATGAGACTAATACTAGTCTAGTTTTATGGGATAATTTGAGCAAAGATTGTAATTTACACATTAATAATTGTTATCATGTTAATGGAAATTAGAAGATTTACAATCTGTATATGTATTGAAATTTTAACGAATAATTGAAATCGAAAAAAAATCAACATCATTGATTCCTTCTTTTTTATTAAATGAATGTGTTCGATATCATTAATATCATATGAAAAAAAAAAAGATATAATATGAGAAGTGATTATTTCATTAGTGAACAACATTTTTTTTTAGCATGAATTTTCAAAATTCTTCAAAAAATATTTAAAAGGATGGTGAAATGAGCAAACAGTATTTTTTGATGTTATATGAGAATTTTGCTATACTTTAATTATCCATATTATCCAATAAATACTTATTAATCTAAATTATTCGTTTGTTTGAAAAGATCATGTCAAAAATTGACCTGAACTTTAGAAATGATATACATATTCTGGATTATATATATATATATATATATATATACATATATATATACATATTATATATATATATATATATATATATATATA